TGCAGAATGCTGTCAAACAAATGGGTAGTTTGGTTAGCGTCATGGACGTCACATCCAGCCGACATGTTGCAGTGCATGTCTGTTTGTTGAGGAGGTAAGAAGTCAGAGACATTGAAGCTCACGGTTGATGTGTTGTCCATGCTGGCGTGCTGTCACCTCTCCAGTGAAGTGGCGTTACCGTAACTTGTACATAGTAGCAGGTGGAACTGACCAATGACAGACCATGCTATGCTATAATCAATAACTGCCCAATGATAGGCTCGAGTAATGTGACCCGGACATGAAGATGCGTTACCGAAACTTGAAGATAGTAGCAGGTGGAACTGACCAATGGCAGACCATGCTTTTCTATAATCAATAACTGCCCAACGACAGGCTCGACTAAGGCGACCGGAACGTCTTCCGAGTAAGTGACCCTGATATATAAAGTTTCTTAGCAAACATAACATACACAGCAAGATAATATTTCTAATCATAAATCATTTCGATAATTGGATATATTGAACATTTAATCTTATAATTAATCGCAACTTTTGGAGATTTGTCATCTTTTTACGTCGTATCACGTATTTCTAATTAAAATCATCAAAACATTGCATTTGCATTGTAACTCAGGTATCACAGATCATGCATTCACGACCGAAGCATATGCTGGCGATAGTTACATTTGATTGAGACCCACAAATATGAATGACTGGAATATAAAAGAAATAGTACTTGCTCTAAGCTAAAGGAAATCATTTTAAGTCCAATATATTTAATGCGTTAGCTCGAAGGATATTTGTAACACTTCCGATTAATATGATCTTTGATCCTGTCTTAAATTCCTCTTGCGTCCCATTGCGTCATATGCTAAAAGTAACTCTTTTGCAGCAATTGTTATTGCTTTTCCTAATCAAATCTTATGAATGAAAAACTGTACCAATCTGTAGACAGGCGGAGTAGTGGTGTGTGGTTCTTATTCCAGGGTTCATTGCACGGAAAACATTAATTTGCCTATACCTATCTATCTCTATCTCCCTGTCCCTAGTATGGCGGTCTACCTTTAGATGTTGGTGACCTATAGCCCGGCTTTTATGTTGTCTTGTCATTTCTAGTTAAAATGTTTTAGCTCTAATTACGAGTTCTAAATGGATATATATATACTGGACAAAATAGTTAGGGATATATGTAAATTTTGAAATTATGAATACTGATCTATTTATTCATTACACACTGATAAATATCAATCATTAAAATACCAATATCCCTAACTTTGTTTGTCCAGTATAGTTAAAATTATTAGTTTAACTGTCCATCGTTAACAGGCTTTTTATTTCTAATTTTATTGATATATGATATAATCATTAATTGTTCTCACGATATGGCTGAAATATTGCCGATGTGACGATAAATATTCACTCACTCTCTCACTATATCTATCGCTGTCTATCTATCCTTATTCTATATACCTATATCTTCACTTGTGTTTTAGCTTCAGTTAAATTGGTGAGGTGGATGAAATATGTTGACTGCTCATCATGAGGTTACTGATGTGACGGGACCTGTAGGGGGATGCCCTGTGGTTTGTGTATAGCCGTCAACTGACATCAAGCATCATAACATACACAAATGAGATTGCTTACAATTTTACATGCATGTTTTACACCAAGTTAAACATTACGTGAAACCCGAATAAAAAATAACATATAAACAGAACTTGTTACACGAGTACCTAATTCTACACCTCGTATACCAACATTCCTGGGGCAATAATGGCCATGTATCTGCGGCCCAACGGGTACCTCGACAGCAAATCTGTTTTGTTTTATTTATATTTTGCTTTGATTAAATTTACTTATTGAAATTAATTAACAGTGAAATGGGATTTGTAAAAGGTACCAACTTGCGTATACTGTAGATAGATGGTTGGATGTATGTATGGACTTCCTTTTGCATAAAAGATATTTGTTCAGACATGAAAAGGTGAATACAAATTATGTAGTGAGGGGATTATAATTATTTGTACTAATTAGTAAATTGTACTGTCCTTTGATAACTGTGTATTAAAGCGTAATAACGTGTATTACTGTGTTACATAGTGTGATAATGTGTATTACTGTTTATTATAGTGTAATAATTGGTATTAGTGTGTATTATAGTGTAATAATGGGTATTAGTGTGTATTCCACCCAGCGCCTGGTACATATCTCATGTATCTCGTGCTTTGATTAACACGTACTTCCTATAATTATACTTACCCCCGACAATAATTCCCCGTATAGCACGGCTACATATCACGTCACATGGATTTTCTTATGAAATACCTGCTCGTGGCTCAAAACAATCAATTTTCATTACATTTGATTATGAGGTATGTCTGCTAGGGAATGACAGGTTGAGAATGAAATTCTAGACAGCAGCAGCTGAGAGGCTGCGGTGTGTCGAGTGGTTTGTTTCCTGCGGTGGCGTACGTTACTGTTTGATTCTATTAGAAATGGAAACCTACAATGAAACTTATGGGGATTATGTTTTGTTTATCATGTGCGTGTCTGTTTCTATTTAAAGTGTGTACATGTTCCACAGTTTCGTGGCTCTCTGAAATAATTATTGTAAAGATACAGTGAAAGAAATATTTTGGCAGTTTTAGAACATGGTGGAATTGAAATGACAAAACCTTGAGTATGCGTTAAGGAATACAGCATCGGTCCTTCTGTGAGTTTGGTTGGATAACTGGAGAGATATTTGTCCAGTATCTTGGGTTCTTCACCATTACGATTAATATTATTCTAATCAGTTGTAAGACAACATTAGGAAAACTTGGCCGCACCCACTTTGAGACGGGAACAGAGGTTATGGAGTTGGAGGTTGTTGTTTGGTTAATTTCCTTCGAATCGGAGCAATGAATGTATTGGACTTAACACTGTTTTTAAAGTATAAATGAAGACATATGTTTGCAACTAATGTTAGTGGATTTTCGCCAGCATCGTCTACAGCCTTGAACACATAATCTGATACCTGAAGTGTGACGTTTTTATTGACTCCATTGGAAATAAATGCGTTGACTTAAACATAGGATGTTCATAATGCCGAGTTACAAGACTACATGTTAAATATACAAAACATATCGTATTGAGGTATGATTAAGATATATTCTCTTTCACCATTTCACTTCACCAGGAACCAGCCACCGAATGCAACATGTCGGTTGGATGTGACGTTCATGACGCTGACCCAACTAATCATTTGTTTAATAGTATTCTCCACATGGCAGAGCTCATGTTGACGTGCTTTGATGTTCTGAACTTACTTGGTTATAGTTCAGTTCAGGTTAATTTAACAAACAGTCCAGCAGTGGTACAAGAATATGGATGTACAACGTACAACATTCAATAAATATGACAACATACTGAAGCGACGCTCTACCGTACACATGTATATAAAGGTGCAGTGATTCTGGATATATGTTTCAAATCGGATATATTTTAGGTTATAATGTTTCACGTAACTTATCTGTGGATTCAAATTATACCACAAATAACAATTATTTGAGATATAGAGAAGTCGTTGTTGGAGAAGAACTTTACACCTGAAAAGACAGTTAAACTCGTCATCTGCAGTAGGTGAGTTGAATAGTGTTCAGATACGGTCTTCTCTCAATAACCAGTGCCACCAGCCGGTTTACATGGGCAAATTAGGGTGCGAAAGATTAAGAATTAATAGTTGTGGGGGAGTAAATATGGGACATTTTTAGAATCTGTTAGTTCTATAAAGTGTTGCTGGTTTTAACCTTTTAGACTTAACAAAACATATGCTCGCCACTTTTTTACAGTTTTGTGTGTCTGTAGAATCAGACATGGGACCTTTATCTAGACATGTTGGACACGTCAGGAGTGAGTCACTGTGTGAGTGAGTGAGTGAGTTTGGTTTTACGCCACACTCAGCAATATTCCAGCTATATGGCGGCGGTCTGTAAATAATCGAGACTGGATCAGACAATTCGGTGATCAACAGCATGAGCATCGATTTACTCAACACGGATACGATGACATGTGTCAACCCAGTCAGCGAGCCTGAACACTCGATCCCGTTAGTCGCCTCTTACGACAAGCATGGTTTACTGAAGATCAATTCTAACCCGGATCTTCACGGGTATTTGGACACGTTAAGATGAATGGAAACTAACTGGGAATGGTTCAATTCACGTATTGAGAAAGTTTAAAATTGTTAAATTAACGTACTGGGAAAGCTGAATGAACGTATTGGGAAAATGAGTGAGTGAGTGATTATCGTTTTACGCCGCTTTTAGCAATATTCCAGTAATATCACGGCAGGGAACACCAGAAATGCGCGTCACACATGGTACCCATGTATTATTGTGAAAGTGATGAAATAATTGAATAAACGTAAATGAGAAAATTAAAATTAAAATTAAATTATGAGTAAATTTATGACACAGCTGAATGAACGTATTGCACTAGTTACGAATTATTAAATTAACTCATTGGGAAAGATATGAAATAGCTGAATGAACTTACTGGGTGTGTTAGGGAAATAACCGAATGAATTTTTGGAAAATGTAACGCAATAATTGAATGAAACTTTTGGAACGTAAAACAGTAATTGAAAAGACATATAATGAAGGGACAGCACCAACCGACTTAAGTTTCCTATAAATACTGGAAAGTGAAAAATGGACAAAGTACTGTGACTAAGTGTCCCAGTCCACCCAGCTGTTAATGGGTACCTCGTTAGGATGGGAAAGCCACAATAACTTGCACGACTGTAATGTGCTGATGAGATTGGCATCCAATGATTGATGGAAAAACAAAACGTTTTGAACATGCATGTAGATGGGAAGGACTATAGCGCTATATAAAACCAATATGATAATATAATACATGTATATCACTTGTGGTTGAACGCACCTGTTGTGAGCGATAGTTGAATATTAATATAATACCGTAACTGTATAGAGCTTACCAGTACCTACAGCGTATTAAACAAAGATGTATATTTCAGGATCGAACAGTATCCACAACAACAAAATGACGGTACTTGGACTGACCATCCCGTTGATGTTGCTAGCCGTTCCAAGTGCTCACAGTGACGGCAGAGTGTGCATGAAAACAGGTGCTTGCACGTGCGAGGCGTTAGATGGGAAAATAGACCTCGGTGCACTGGATAGTCAAATCGATAAACCTCGGTAAAAGGGACTTTTCATCGAAATAAGAATAAAATATCCATACAAATCTGTTTTTCACTCACGTCATTGAAAAACATCAAGTGTTTATGTAACATTTGAATCTTATGCAAATAAGGACACATGTACCGATGGATTGGTAGAATCTGACTCTTTACGGTTATGTATTGTTTATTGATACATTATATAACATGTTTATGATCAGTGTATGAAATAAGGCACGTCCGACCGCCCGAACGGTCTAGATTTCTGACGGACGGTCTAAATTTACAGCTAGCCACCCCGATGGTCTGGTAACGTTTTAGATGTTCATACATCTGAGCATATTTGGTCTGGTTAAAGCCAAAAATCCAGCCAGACATCAGGGCTGGTAACTTCAAAAGATGTCTGGCTGGAGTTTGGGCTTATTTCATTACTGTTATGCTATTAAGACGTTCATGCTGGCGATGTCAACGTTTACTGCAGGTTCTTCAACATGTCGGCGACTGACGACCCCTTCTACTACTCCTGGAATCCATGTTCGGACTTCTCTCTTCCCAACACCAGCTTCGTCTGTGCCAGCGTCGCGGTGAGGCAGCTCTAGAAACTCAGGGGCGGTGGGGTAGCCTAGTGGTTAAAGCGTTGGCTCGTCACGCCGAAGACCCGGGTTCGATTCCCCACATGGGCACAATGTGTTAAGCCCATTTCTGGTGTCCCCCGCCGTGATATTGCTGGAATATTGCTAAAAGCGGCGTAAAACTAAACTCAGTCAGTCAGTCAGTCTAGAAACTCATAGTTGGCAAAAACACACTCATACCTTTCTTCTAAGCCGGGGGCACTGATAGCCGGCAGTAGCCTGTGTGTAGAGTGACGTCCCATGGGCATGTCATGATCTGGGTTCCCGTCTAAAATTCGCTCTGATCATGGTATGTGAGCACCATACTCCTGCTAGTGGGTATTCCAAAGTGGAGGGCGGGTGGTGGGATAGCCTAGTGGTTAAAGCGTCCGCTCGTCACACCGAAGACCCGCGTTCGATTCCCCCATGGGTACAATGTATGATGCCCATTTCTGGTGTCCCCGGGCGTGTTATTGCAGAAACATTGCTAAAAGCGGCGTAAAATCATACTCACTCACTCACTCACTCCAAAGTGGAAAAGACGTGCTTTAACTTCAGACCTGGTGACAGAAACAATAGTATAACTGATATAGTGTTTAACTAGAGGTGACATCCGACTGCTAGCTACAATGTCTGGCTACACATAGCTTACTGCGCGTCATCGTGCCCAGGGCCCACTCGTAGCTGCGACAGCGTAACATAGATTTACGTAGCGCCAAGACAGCTTTGTGCATATGGGCCCTCACGTCATGTTCATGCAGTCGACCACTGGTTCACCTGACCTCGACCTTTACCAGCCGCCGTCAGTCAACAGAAGGCTGGCCAATGGCGGCGTTAAGAGCCCTCACGCCGACTTATCTCTCACACGCTATTACAGGTTCTTTATCGTGAACAGTATTCAAGATTTCCGGCACATCATCCCCCTGAATATAATGTTAAACAAAAATGTCAAACATTACATTTCTCATTTGAGGACGTGAGATTAATTCCAAATATATATTTCTTATGAAATACAGACAGTGCAACACGTGGTCTAAGAGATTGTTTTACAGGGAAAGTTTCAAACTGAGCAATGCCATACATGATATTCTGGTTGCATGTATTCAGTGAGTGGTATTACGTTTCAGATTTGCCAGGGGTACTTCAGCGGTGCGACAGGCCCTATATACTTCAGTCTTGGGTCACAGGCTGAGGTCCAGTTTGAGTACGATGACACGGATACTCTCAGCATGCAGTATGTTCACCGATACTTGAACGTAACCAGGTGAGTTTCTCTACCTGAGTGTTGGGCAGTGTCCGCTATTAACGCAATGATATTGATAAAGGGGCATAACTCTGTACCAGTGAGTTGTTAAGTTGATAATCTGAAACACAATTATCCGGTTAAACGAAGCCTCCACTGACTGTCACACTGTTGGTCCATTGGGAAGTGTGTGTGTGTGTGTGTGTGCACGTGCGTGCGTGCGTGCGTGAAGGGGTGCGCATACCTCCTTTTGTCCCGAGTTTATTAAATGGCCATTGAAACTCTCGTGATAACGGGTGAAAATGAAGTGTGCCCCTCACTTTCTCAAAGGTGTGCACCCCTTCTTTCTCAAAAAGCTGTATCCGCCCCTGGTGTTTCCTGCAGAAATGTTGCCGTGATGTTGCTATGGCTACATGATACCACGTGTGTCTCCCCGCAGACTGACGGTGATCCGGCTGGTGTGTGACGCGACCACGGAGGGAGAGCTGACGGTACAAGGACAACACAAGTCAACGCTGCCGCTTTACGTGAGTGTCACGGGGACAGTACGTGTCACGTGCACCATCCTCGGTCATCCAGTGTAGTATATCTACATTTCATTATGATGAAGACCCTTGAAGATCCCGGTTAGAATTGATCTTCAGGAACCCATGCTTATCGTTAGACGCGGGATGGTGGTCAGGCTCGCTGACTTGGTTGACACGTGTCATCGTATCCCAATTGCGTTGATCGATGTTCATGCTGTTGATCACTGGATTGTCTGGTCCAGACTCGATTATTTACAGACCGCCGCCGTATAGCTGGAATAGTGTTGAGTGCGGCGTTAAACAGCAAACCAACCAACCAATCATTATGATGAAATGCCCCGACCCATTAACCACCATAGCAGCCAGAAGTGAAACCAACGGGTATTCAGAAACATAATTTGGGCGAACTGAGATTCGAACTCAAGATCATAGCTTCAAAGGGTATAACGGATGCAGCTTGACCACATGGCTACACTCGTCATCTGTTGTGTGTAAAGCTGAAATGTTTAACTTATGAACATAAACATGTTTTACTCACAATGGCGTTTCTTACAATTCGTACAGAACTTCGAACTGATGAGCAAGTACGCATGCGTGGTTCCCTTCCCAACAACATCACCACCACTTACCGTTTCCAAGGAGACACGTGGTCCTCCCACAACAACGCCATCTCCCCAAATCCGGGATCTCAACGCCATCGTCGTGCTTCTGACCCGCGTATTGTAAGAACCTAACCTATTGGATGGTCGGATGAGAATATACGTAGATATTGGTCGTAACGTTACATGCATCAGTTCAGCAAGGTTGACTGAAGCCCCCATTGCCATGCTAAAACATACATGTCCATATTACGAGTCACGGGTCAAAAAGGCTAATCAACTAACTCAAACTGGCCTGTGAAAACAAACTCCTTTTTGTGAAAACAGACAGATCATTTATGTAAAAACAACCAATGTATTATAGTTAAATCACCGTCAAATATTCTTGTCAGAACGGCCAGAACTGTCATAGTCAAAACACTAAAATATGTCTATGTAAGAACCAAATATTCATATGAGAACAGCCAAGTAGCCAAATAGCCATAAGAGAACAGCCAAGTAGCCAAATAGCCATAAGAGAACAGCCAAGTAGCCAAATATCCATAAGAGAACAACCAAGTAGCCAAATAGCCATAAGAGAACAGCCAAGTAGCCAAATAGCCATAAGAGAACAGCCAAGTAGCCAAATATCCATAAGAGAACAGCCAAGTAGCCAAATAGCCATAAGAGAACAACCAAGTAGCCAAATAGCCATAAGAGAACAGCCAAGTAGCCAAATAGCCATAAGAGAACAGCCAAGTAGCCAAATAGCCATGAGAACAACCAAGTAGCCAAATAGCCATAAGAGAACAGCCAAGTAGCCAAATAGCCATAAGAGAACAGCCAAGTAGCCAAATATCCATAAGAGAACAGCCAAGTAGCCAAATAGCCATGAGAACAACCAAGTAGCCAAATAGCCATAAGAGAACAGCCAAGTAGCCAAATAGCCATAAGAGAACAGCCAAGTAGCCAAAACACATCGTAACAGCTAAAGAGCCAAACAGCCACAGGAGGAACAGGGTTTTAAACGTACTGAACATATACAAACATACAATATTTTACAGTGTAACATGACTGTCTGTCTGACTCGCTATGATGTTACTGAAATATATTGAAATACTGTTGAACCAGAACACAGCACTCTACCTATGAAGGCAGACCAGGGTAGCTTAACGGGATTCCACTCACACCTCAGTTTTCTATTTCTATTCTGGATTCTAAACACCCGGATGGAGTGACATCGAGCTTCGTCGATCATGTATTCAACTGGATTTCACATTATTAAAATGGTTGCTAAAACAGTTTCTCAGAACCTTTCTAAAGACATAATTTTGCGGGCTCTGTTGACCGGGGACCTGGACCCGACTTTAATGGTTACTTCGGGCTTTCATCCCACTTTACGCTGACACGCCAATGATGATAGTGTTACAAGCGTCCTAAACCAGACTCACTCATTCATTGACTGTTGAAGGAAGAAACCACCACATCAGGCAATATGCTGTGAAGCATACGCTAATACTGGTGGGAAGAAGTCGAGTTTTAGAATGTCTTTAATACACAAAAACACCACAACGTTTAAACACTCGAAAACCGGGAGCTGTTTGCTTTGCGCATTGAATTGCATGCCGATATGAAAATAAGATATATGTATGTGTATATACCTTTGTCCAACTTCCTCAAAATACAAAAGACAATATAGTGTAGCTAGTCAATGAAGCTTGGTGTGACTTGTGATCTTAGTTCAGCGGGGGCGGAGGGGTAGCCCAGTGGTTAAAGTGTTCGCTCGTCACGCCGAAGGCCCGGGTTCGATTTCCCACATGGGTACAATGTGTGAAGGCAATTTCTGGTGTCCCCCGCTGTGGTTATGCTGTAATATTGCTAAAAGCGGCGTTAAACCATACTCACTCACCCATTCACTGCCTGACCTGCGTGAACATTCCTCCACATCAAGCAGAGACGCGATGTCGTAACTGAGTAGGTTCACAGCAGCGTCAAACCCAACCCACTCACTCACTTCACTGCAGAACTATTCACTCACCCACCAGTCTGACTGGGTACATTTCCATCAGTATTACCGAAACACCAATGGGCTTCACACATTGTACATATTCGGGGACTCGAACCCAGTCCTACGGCGTGCTGAGCAAACACTTTCACCACTAGGTTTCCAATGCCTCTTCTTCAACATGGAGATTATATATGTCAAGTGGGTTTGTGCATCTGTATTGGTTGCAATAACAATTAGTGTAAAGTAAAACTGAATAATAATTTCTGAATACTGTTTTGGTACGTTCGGGACTAAGACGACTAATGATCATGAACACCTTCGTATTCACTTCTCCAGTTTTGAGCAGATCGAACTGGGGTTAACGCCTGTTTTCCAGTCGTCTGTTTGATGTGGGAGGAATGCCCTACTTGCTGAAACAATCAAGAACGGGTGCCGTGATGACAAAACTGGAAGTCAAAACATAGTCTATATGCAGTTTCCTGTAAAATGTGGGTATGAAATACTTCAAACATACGCCTCTGTGTTTCAGTGTGGGCGTTTGTGTTGTGGCGTTCCTTCAGTTGGCGCTCATCTTTATCCTTCTGTGCAAGCTCCCCAACACAGCAAGCTTCCAGCAGGACGCACCTGCTAGCACCCATCACAAGGCGAAGTATTGACACGGACAATCATAGTGTTGATTGGTTAACATGTAACATATAGAATGTCGAGAAACTAATTTCAAAATCGTGATATCAATCATAAAGTTTAATATAAATCTTAAGGGAAGAGTGTAAAAAGAATAATACTTATCTTAAGCCGGATGGTGCAGGAATCTAATATGAACACAATTAACAAAAGGCTAAATAGGTGTCCAGTCAAACGGCATTGTTTGCATTAAGGACAAGCTCCTCAGTAGGACACATTAAAACAATCAATTGATTTCATGACATTTGATAACCTAAGCAAAACTTGTTTGCATTGTATTTACGACACGCCCACAAGCAGTCTGTTTCAAGTCAAGTATGGGCGGGATTGAGCCTCCCTACGGCAGTGCCCTGGGGTCAGCGATTCCCCTTGTCTACAGTGCTTTGTGTTCCTGATTAAACTGGCAGTCTGGGAAGTCACCGACTCACTCGTGTTTATAAACTGACTTCAGCCTTCCGGCCCTTGTGGAGGTATGAACGCTGGCACCCTCGATTACCCAGTGTATCATATTCCTTCTACGTCATGAGTAAGTGAGCGAGTTTGGTTTTACGACGCATTTAGCAATATTCAAGCTATATCACGGTGGGGGGACACCAGAAATTGGCTTCTCACATAATACCCATGTGGGAAATCGAACTCGGGTCTTCAGCGTAACGAGCGAACGCTCTAACAACTAGGCTACTGCAATCGCCCCTCTGTCATGAACACAAGCCAAGTAATAGCTGGGTTCTTCACAAATTGAGGTGGGTAATTCATGCTGTGGTCAGACCTTCACCTCAAATAGCCTTAGTCAGGCGTTCTTCTTGCTGTTAAGGCTAGTTCTACCCAACCCTGATAAGACCTTTCCACCATTTACTGAGACAACACCTTCACCTCGGCTCAGGTGTCGGATATACCCTCATACTTTGGAACAGAGGACAGTGTGACCAGGTAGAACATTGGATTCATTTCCAGGACAAATACAGCTGAAACAATTGCCTTTGAAATAAAACAATTGTGTGTCAAAGTTCTAAATATCATCGTTTAAGATCTTACACGTTCGACTCGTTATATTCTTTTACTAATTAGACACAACACAGTTTCACTGAATATAATCTGATTTTATTACAAAAAAATCTTGTATATCACACTTGCTACCCCGAATACTCCCAGACATACTTCACAGATTATACTAACACAGAACCAGAACTAGACATGCAAACACACGTGATTCAGGCAAACAGTCAGTTCCGGGGGATGGACTATCTTCGAGAACATCTTGCACGTACATCAGGATCCTGCACCATGCTATCTCTTTCACTATTGGTCGATACAGCTACGATTATCATTTAACACGTATCTGCTCTGGGGGAAAAGAGACAACAACATGAGGGCACCCTTATAACCCTTGAGGACTAATTGGTTACAAAACGCAGAATGTGTTAATGATAGTTACCTTATAGGGAACTGACCCAGAATAGGACAGTTCACTCTGCTTGCTTGGCCACTCACAATATCACACAAGGACTAGCTGCTAATGGAAACCTTGTGGGGAATCAAACCAATCTACAACAGATGACCCTGCCTGCCTGCCCGCTCGGCTACTGGCGCCACTTCAGGACTGGTCCTCTCGGTAATCAAATCAGAGTTAGAGGTCTTGAGAGCTGGTCTGTTGACGATTGAGAATGCTGATGATGGCGTTATGTCCACCTGCGTGAATCCAGACCAATTGTATCCCTGAATCCTGCCACTTGTCAATGCATACAGATCACATTGCTAATGCATGTAAATGCACTGGATACCACATGAAATACTGGCTGTACTTCAATGTAAATGAAAGCATTATGAATGCAATTTGAATGCATTATATACATATTAGAAAATGTTTGATTTATGATTTGATGTACTATTGACTCCACCATCTTTTCAGCAACAGACTTGACATCTGTAGATACGGAGTTGTGTCCCCTTGCAACACTCCAAGTGACAATGTAGTGCATCAGTTTACATCACAACATTTGTAACATGCTAATGCCCTTCATCGTAAAAACACGAACAAATAAGGAAGACAAACTGATACAGTAATCTCATAAACAGGCTGATTCTTTAGTCTGTCAATGTACTAATGTAATTATCTGACTATAAAGGCTGAATTTGATCTAATTTAACTGATCACTCTTGTATCAATGTCTCAAAATATCTTCAGCCTGTAATGCAAACTGTTGCTAGGGGACAACAAGCTCCTATTTCTTCAGTTCACAAGCTGGTCCACTGTGTCCACAACATCACTCAGTCGGTATCATCATCTCCAGTGTCCATCAGAGTTCAATGATCAGTCTTCTCAGAAACTGTGCAAAACAATTCTGACTCACATTATCACACAACGGTGGTTCTGTGGAATTCCGTTAGAAGCCCATCCCTCCCATACCACCCATCCCACCCATGCCTCCCATCCCTCCAGCTGGTGCAGCTGACTCCTCCTTGGGGATTTCCGTGACAACCACCTCTGCTGTGGTGAGAAGGGAGGCTACTCCTGCTGCATCAACAATTGCTGTCCTCACAACCTGTAACAGAATACAGTCTAACTGTAATCATCCAGACTGTCCACAGAGTCTTGTTTGTTTCTTGCTTCATACCACACTCAGCAATATTCCACCGGCGGGGTCTGTAAACAATTGAGTCTGGACCAGATAATCCTGTGATGAAAATCATGAGCATCAATCTACTCAGTTTGATGACAAGTGTCAATCAAGTCAGCGAGTCTGACCACCCGATCTCGATAGTGTCCTCTTGGCAAGCATGAATAGCTGAAGACCAATTCTTAGCCAGATCTTCACGGGCCGTCACACAAAGGGCAAATGAATTGGCATTTAAGTGGGTATGTTCGTCCCATGTTCTCTTGACCATGATACTCACCAATCATAATGTGCACTCACTCAAGGTGAGGCAGGCAATACACGTGACCTTTTAGCATTAGATGCACCAAAAAGCTGGGATCATTTCAAACTTATCTTCTTTCATTCAGAGCTGTTTAACATTACATCGGCATCCATATTGGTGGGCTCGTTCAGCAAGCATGACAGAGTATCTCTTCCACAGATCCTCTTACACCTCGCAAATACATACACTTTTACAAATCATAACACTTTGGCATTTTTTAGGTAAAATAAATAAATGAAGGAAACAAAACATTATAAAAGTATATCAATTACCTTTGTTGGGTCAATAATTCCCTTCTCGATGAGATTCCCATCATTCCCATCATACCCGAAGTCTCCCTTCTCATTGAGGACCTTCTCCACTACGACGTGGGCCTCGACGCCGGCATTTAATGCAATGGTGAGACATGGCATCCTCAGGGCCTTGCGTACAATCTCAATACCTGGCAACAATGTACACAAAAGCTTTACACAATCCCAGATCAGCAAGAGGAAACAGTAAGGCAATTGGGAGTAGCTGCAAGAACTGCCATCTAACATTGATAATTGATAATATCCAACATGTGAACTCATATCCGACCTGTGAACCCGTATCTGACATGTAAACCTCTATCTGACATGTGAACCTCTATATGACAAGTGAACCTCTATATGACATGTGAACCTCTATATGACACGTGAACCTCTATCTGACATGTGAACCTCTATCTGACATGTGAACCTCTATATGACAAGTGAACCTCTATCTGACAAGTGAACCCCTATCTGACAAGTGAACCTCTGACAAGTGAACCCCTATATGACATGTGAACCTCTATCTGACAAGTGAACCCCTATCTGACAAGTGAACCTCTATCTGACATGTGAACCTCTATATGACAAGTGAACCTCTATCTGACAAGTGAACCTCTATCTGACAAGTGAATCCCTATCTGACAAATGAACCCCTATCTGACAAGTGAACCTCTATCTGAAGTGAACCCGTATCTGACAAGAGAACCCTATCTATCTGACAAAGTGAACCCTCTATATGACACGTAAACATACCCCTATCTGACAAGTGAACCTCTCTATATGACATAACCCCCATCTGAACCCCTATCTGACAAGTGATCCTCATGACATGTGAACCTCTATCTGAAAAGTGAACCCCTATCTGACAAGTGAATCCCTATCTCACAAGTGAACCTCTATATGACAAGTGAACCCCTATCTGACAAGTAAACTCTATATGACAAGTCAACAAGTAAGTGAACTCTATCTGACAAGTAAACCTCTATCTGACAAGTTAACCTCTATATGACATGTAAACCTCTATCTGACAAGTAAAACTCTATCTGACAAGTGAACCTCTATCTGACAAGTCAACCTCTATATAAATGTGAACCTCTATATGACAAACCCTATCTGTAAACCTCTATCTGACAAGTAAAACTCTATCTGACAATTAAACCTCTATCTGACAAGTAAACCTCTATATGACATGTGAACCTCTATATGACAAGTGAACCTCTATATGACAAGTGAACCTCTATATGACTTGCAAGAGCATCCAAGTTAAGAACCTGTACCTAGCCTCATCAGTAAAGAGACAGCGTGTTGACGGTGTCTCCAAGTAAACTGACTTGATTAGAGTTGATCTAGCACTACTGTGCACCTGAACAGTTACAGAACTGTGCAGGGAAGAAGAGTGCATTTCTGTTTGTTCCTGGCACTCCATTTAGGAATGAGACCACCCCACAGACCGCAAAAGTCTCCTTGCACCAACCTCCAAGACGGCCCTCTATCCTGTAATAAGACCACTCTACAGACCACAATAGTCTCCATGCACCAACCTTCAACACGGCCCTCTATCCTGTAATAAGACCACCCTACAGACCACAATAGTCTCCATGAACCAACCTTCAAGACGGCCCTCCATCTAGGAATAAGACCACCCTACAGATAACAATAGTCTCCATGCACCAACCTTCAACACGGCCCTCTATCCTGTAATAAGACCACCTTACAGACCACAATAGTCTCCATGAACCAACCTTCAAGACGGCCCTCCATCTAGGAATAAGACCACCCTACAGACCACAATAGTCTCCATGCATCATCCTTCAACACGGCCCTCTATCCTGTACTGTAATAAGACCACCCTACAGACCACAAGAGTCTCCATGCACCAACCTCCCAAAACCGAAAAAAACATAAATTAAAACTGAAAGCCTACGGCCTTCTCTTTAAGTTGAATCACTAACCCAAACCGCAATAACATAAACTTAAAACAAAGAGGGTTAAAACGTAAAATAACAATAACAACAAAGAACTAATAATACCAGTAAATTAAAGGGGAAAAAACATCGAGGTAAAGTCGGGCATGTGAAACTGAAATATAATCCTTGGCTCAAGTGATTTTCTACACTTGGATCAAGTTCTATGAATTGAGTCGGTCGGCCGGCCGAGGCATTGATAGTATTGTTTCCAGGTGAGGGGAACATGCTTTCAATGTCTACGAAC